TTCACTCACCTATCATATTCAATGACTCGATATCATGCCATACATGACATCGATCATTTTTATTCTAGCCTAAATGTGGCCCCTTTCGTGAATTTGGGCCTAGTTATGTGGTGAAGCCAGACTCTGATACCAAATGTTAAGAGCCCATAGTAGAACTTGCCCCTAAAAACCAGCTTGTAAAGGAAGGGTGCCCATGAGATCTTAAACCACTCATCATACATTTGCATAGCCAAATTATTCCTCCATGCAGTCCATTGATCTGAAGGTTCAATAGTGCCAAGTACATCACCATCTTGGTTAGTTTCCCCATTTTCAGTACCATTCAATTCATTCTCCAATGGATCAATAACCATCTCGCCACGAATAAGATTATGTAATAGGCAACAAGCTGTAATTATTTTACATTGTGTCTCAATTGGGAAAAATGTTGGACTTCGCAAGATACCCCAACGCATCTTAAGAAGTCCAAAACACCTTTCAATCACATTTCTTGCAGCAGCATGCTTCATATTGAAATACTCTTCATGATTATTAGGTGCCCTTCTATTCCTCCATTCAGATAGATGATATCTTGTACCCCTATAAGGAGCCAGATATCCTTGACCATTTGTGTACCCACCATCCACAAGTTAATAACAGCCTAACAATTAAACAAATATTATGTACCTTATCAAAAATATAATCAACCTTAATATTACCACAATGAAACACAATAATCTAATTTTACCTGTGGGAACTCTTAATCCTGTTGGTCTACTAATTGCATCTTGTAACACCCTAGAATCAGACGCAGATCCTTCCCAACCAGGGAAAACAAATATAAATTTCATGTCAGGGGTACAAACTCCTAATACATTGGTTGCAACCTCCCCCTTTCGTGTTCGATATCTTGGTTTATCTTGTTCAGGGACACGAACCATAATGTAAGTCCCATCCAACGCCCCCAAGCATTTCTACACAATTAAAAAAATAAGGTACCTTAGAAACTTAAAATATAAATATAATAATAAAATTGACCAATCTTAATTTAATTTTACAGTACCTTAAACCATCTCCATCTATTATCGGTGCAATTATCAGGTATGGGTTCCGGCACCTTCAAAAGTCTACCTTGTAATCTTAACACTCCATGCAAGATTGAATTGAAGTACCTACTAATAGTCTCCCCCGATCGCTTAAATCTACTACTCATTGTACGATTCCTCACATGATGTGCGAGTGTATGTAAAAACATACACACTTGCTCTTCTATGGTTACTGAGCCATTTGTTCTCACTCTTCCATCGTCACGGACCAATTGGCATAAATAATGGAAAGTTCTCCTATCCATCCTAATTTGGTTCACACATTGTATGTCATCAATTCCTATAATGCTATCTAAATAATTTGACCAAGTTGCAATCCTGAAAAACCTTTGACTCCTAATGGCATTCCTTTCTTGGCGTCGTTGTTCCAAATTGTAATTTGTCATGAACCACATCATGCACCAAGCCATAATATGCAAGAACCACAATCTAATAATAAAGTATGCCACAATCTTTCTTTCATCCATATCTAGGCATAATATAAAGGAAAAACAATTAGTAAAAGTAATATCAATACACCCAAAAAAAGAATAAAAGGAAGATTCATTTTAAAAATTAATCTAGCCAGAAGACCATGGCCGTTAATGGAGTGTATAATTAATGCACAATTGTGCTTAGCAAAAGAGATATTGAATTGTGATTGGTATTTTATGGTATGTTAATTGTGCTCTGCATGCAAGCCACACCCTGTTGGTGTGTCGTGTTTTACATACTACAATCATGGTCCTTTCCTTTTTTTATCAGTCGCAATATTTCAAAACCAAATTGCCTTTGCCGCCACAAAGCAACCATTGGTATCCCTCGCAATCATACCCCAACCATTGTTTTGTTTGTTTATAGTTCTCAACACAGTGAAAAACTGAAAAACACCCATCAAAAAGCGAAACATGGACAAAAAACAATTCCACGAATCACTTTATTTGCTAAAGATTCCCACAACGTCGAATTATATCACATACAAATAAAACATTCGATTAAAAAAATGTCAAGAAGGAAAAACTCATAACCTAATTTTCACAAAAAAATAATAAAAGAAGAAATATATAGAGAAGAGAGAAGAAGCAAGAAGAAGCATATTTGAGAGAGTATGAAAAATAGAGAGAGTGAGAGATAGATACATGGAGAAGAGTGATGAGAATAACCTGTGTAGAAGATTGCAGAGAAGAACCCTAGGGAGAAGAATGAAAAGAGCGTTTGATTTTTCACGGTAGAACGGTTGTATAATTAAGCGTGTATTATCTAAACCGGGGTGTGTGAGTTGTATTAGTTAGTCAGGTAAGGAGAGTATTAAAAGCCCAACCCGTATAAAATAGTCAGGTAATTAAATAATATAAGTTGACACCAAACACATGACATAGACTATTTACTCCTATCCAGAGTCTAATACGGTGTACCAAACGAGCCCTCTAGGATATGCTATTTTTCCAATTTAGGATCTTGAGTCCTAACATGGAACGGTGGGCCCAGAAAAGCACTTGGAAAGTCTCGTGCTGTGAAGGAATCCATGAAATTCACAGAGTGGAAAGCTAATTGGGTTAAATTAAAGAGCAATTAAAGAGCATCCACAGCCCCCTATCTCTTTGATCTCGTCGGGTTGGCTAGCCATGGTGGTTTTCCGAGTGACAGTTTTGATGGAGATAGTGACTAGAAATTCTCTATTTAGGAAACTGAAGGCGGAGGGGAGAGAGAGAGAGAGGAAGAAAAAGACAGAGAGGGACAGAGAGAGAAAGAGGCGGGGAAAGAGAGGAAGAGACAAGGATAAGGTGGGTTTGCGTGAGGGGAGTGGTAGGTTCAGTTCTAGGGTCTGTTGAGGTGGATGTGGCTAGGGGATAGGGGTTGGGATTGGAGTGGGGGACGATGAGATGGGGTTGAGGTTGGGTGGGCTATTTTTTTTTTGGGTTGCTTTTTGTTGTTGTTGTATTCTTTTTTTTTTGGTCTAAACCATGAGGTGGTCCTGGATGGGCCCTAACTATGGGTGGCACCTTTAAGCCTTAACCACAACCCAGACTAATCCCCACTCACACCGGGTCGGCTCGTAAGGGGTAAAGTGTTGGCCAAAGTGTTGTTGTTGTATTCTTTAATAGTTTTTAATTAATTTAAAAAATAAAGACAATTTTGTATTAATTTTTAACCATATTTTTTAGTTTTTTAGTTGTCGAAAGTCTTATTTACCCTCACAATTATAGCATGTGCTGCTCACATGACTAAATTTAATAGAAAATGTAATGATAAGACCAATGCCATGATTAATAAAGAGTTGGTGGACCATTTGAACGAATAATTTAGTTGAGAGACCAAAATGAAACTCAGGTATAAGTTTAAGGACCATGTTAATTAAAAACCCAATTTTCAATTATACCCATATGAAATTAAATATATATATAAAAAAAAAGAATGCATTTAATTCTATATTGTGATTCTAAATTGTTAATATGGACAAAATGATCATGAAAAATGTGCATTTAATGCTGGACTATTTTCTCAAAATTTCCCATTAGATTGAGGAAAGTTAGAATCCAGATTCCTATTGAAGTTGTTTACTAAACCATATGGAATCGGGATAGGAGTGATACTGATTCTTTACGAGTTGTTTACTAAATTACCATGAATCAGAATTGAAACTAGTTTGATTACTAAAATGCCCTCGTTGTTGAGTTAAAGTAGCTGACAAATTTGGAATTTTAAAAATTGTGTGAGAATATAATAGGTGAAAAAGATAGATTCCTGATCAGTTAGTTCTCCAGGAATTAGAATAACACCTCCCACTCAAGAGTCAAATTTCTCCAAAATCAAGAGTTGAATACCTGATTTTGTGTGAGTTCCACTTAGATTTTATTCCTCTATGTGAAAGAAACACATGAGTAATCCGTAATAGGAGTTCAAATCCTTATTTTGATTCTGATTACAAATTAGTAAACATACCATAAATTTAGTATTGATTGATTATTGGGAGTTTTTTTTCCTTATATGAATAAAGCCATAAAATTTTACATTGACCATATTCTTCACAGAAAAAGAGACAATTACTTATTTGGAACGAAAAAATAGTGATAAATTACAATTGAGTGTTGCTATTTCCACTCCCTGTCCTATTTCTCCACCCACCTTATCTTTAAACTCATCATGTAAATTTGAAAAAACACAACCTTATCTTTCCACCCACTATCATTCCTAAAATACCCCTTAATTATTAAACAACAAGGAAATTACTAAGAAAAGACCTTTTCAGATTAGCGACAATTTTCTCTTTGTGCCAAGGAGGCAAGGAATTGTATGGGAAAATGCAATTGAGCTTCTCTCGAATTGCTTTCTTATTTCTAAAAGCGAGTCACTAAGAAACTTTTTTCTTCCAAGATTGTAAAAAGTAGTCATTGAAAATGCTTCACAAAACCTTTCTTTTTATTAAAGTAATTATTTGACAAAAGTTGAGGAAGTCATTGGGAAAGCTACAAGACGCTGAAGAAAAAACGAAGAAGAAAAAAAAAGGGGGCTTCCCACTACACAAATTACTTGTAAGTTGTAATAACAAAGTGGTGCATAAAGTGCTTCATACCAATTGAAAAAATTCCTCTGAAACATTTGATAAATATATATATTTGAATTTTTACTGCCCCTTTGCCAGAAATATACTGAGACAGAATTTTTAATCCTCCTTCCACTTTTTTATGAGGCACGCTTTTTATTTATTTATTACATAGGGGGGGGGTTCGAACTCCAGTGGCAGTTGGGGGAAAGGGGAAAGATGCTGCCAAACCATCGCAGCTAACAAACCCCATTGGCTATTTAGGCACGCTTTCACCAACTAGATTCCCCAAAGATAAATTACACCATTCACCCATTTATTCATGACATTTCTTTCAAGAAATAAAAAGAAAACCATGCCAAGAAAAATGACAAATACACAATACACTCAGGAAGAAAATACTGGAGAGATTAACTATCTAAACATGGAGAAAGCCTTTGGAGCAGCATTTGGTGGCCCAGTCCAACCTACAATAATATTCACAAAAATAAGATGTGTGTATTAGGAGAACCATAATTAATAATAAACACATAATTATATATCATAATTGTGCGGATTAAATTTAGAACCTTTGGATGGATCCAAGCCTCTGATTTTAAGCTCGGCATGCTCTTGGCAAAGGGCGCATGAGTCACAGAAGAAATGAACACCACAATCACAACAAGGTTTGTCTGGTAGGCCAAATTTCGTACGCAATTTCTCTCTGTAGATGCATGAGTAGAGCCAGTGGAATTGGACCATCATCAAGCAGCAGTATGCACAACCCTGTGCGCAGCATGCTAAACGCAAACCAAGCCCACCATATACAAAAGCTCCAATTAGTAAAGCAACAATTAAACTCAGCCCATCACTTAGGTTATTAAAAGTATAATTTATGTGTTGATTGCTTTTATCAAAATTATAGTTCAAATTAATAGGTTATGAGCTTGTAAAGAGCTTGTAGTTCAAGAGGTTATGAGCATTTATCTCTGCACTTAGAGAAAGACTTCCATGAAACGGGAATAGTATTGCTATCCCCGGCCAATAACATTGTGACACGCGTGATAACACTTCCATGTGTCATAGCATTATTGGCTTGAGATAGCATTGTTTATGATATCCTCCTTGCAATTCAACTAATTATTTGGGCCAAAAAAGTCACTAATTATTAAGTTGAATGGGCCGAGGATTCCATGGTCTAATGAAGAAATGCTTCCAAATTTTAGGTCATGCTTTGATATCAATAAGCCCAGAGGATTAAAAATGCACCTCAGCATTTGATCTGTGCACCCAGTTGGCTAATTATATATACTTACAACTTCGTCCTTCATCTACAACTTCTGCAATCCGGCCGAAGGTAACACATGGGAGAAAGTATGTTATGCAACCTACACCACAGTTACATGAATTAATTGACCAAATAGTTTGAAGTAGTGCATGTAATTCAATAGTAGCTCAGAATTAGAGGTGCCAAATTTTAGCAAGAAATAAAGAGAGAGACAGAGAGCTATATATAATTTTACATGTAGAGATCTCATTTCCACAACTGAAAAGGCCAAGAGACCATTCGGGTTTCGGGCGGTAGTGGTTGAAAATATTCATATTTCTCACCAAGAAAATGATAAAAAATGATGAAGATATATACAACTTAATGTTAATGAAAATAATGCTAAAGGGCTGATGGGAATGGATCTTAAGAATTTGGCATTTATACTCCACAGTTCATGTCTTTGGGAAGATCGCTGTTGAATTTGATTATTATTTTTGGATCTGTTTACATAGTAAAGCAGGCTTGCTATACAATGAAGCCGGCCATGTCACTGTTAGCATGCGAAAGAAGACTTGGTCGCTATGTGTGACTTATATCTAATAAGTTAACATATTTCCATTGTTGTCCTTATTATTACTTGTATAAGTACCACCTAATTTAAGCAATGTTAGAATGTTATAGAGGCTACCTTTTTACCTTCATGTGAGTGGCAGTAAATGTTTTAAGTATTATCTCACATCTGAGATGGAAGTTTTACTTTAATAATTTAAATGATCGTAGGTTTCCCCCCTCCCCAAATTGAAAATTGATTTTGGTTCTTTATTTTTATTTTATAGAGAAAAATGATAATTGTATTTATAAATTAGGCATAAAGATCCACAAGCCAGAAGGGTTGGTACAAATACCCACCAAGGGTTAATGCAAAGATGGAAGCATAGTAAACATGCAAGATTAATCCAGATACATAGAAACACACCGGCAACATCAAACACATAAGGTGTATCTCCACTAATAGCCTCATAAGGTCAAAGAAATTTCGGCATAAAAACTGCAAGCCGGAACAAGCGAGACATGAACCACAATGCCTAAAACTACCAATACAACAACAACTTTTAAACTCTCACAAGTAGAAACTATAAGTAGAGACTAGACTACAAACAAACACCAAACTCACAAAGAGTTGATGCAATTATTACAACTCAATAAACTGTAAACACCCAAACTCACCAAAGATTTCAAGCACAACAAAACCACAAGAGTTGCCAACGAAACCACCACTGCAGGCAAGGGGAAAATCTAGCCAAAAAAGTGGTAAACAACCCCAAGAAAGCAAGGAGGAGAGGAAGGCAGAGAGGGGTGGGGAGGGAAGGGTAGAGAAAGAGAGGAGAGAAGAGGGGGAGGGAAAGGTAGGAGAGGAGAGGGTTGGGGAAGGAGGCCACCACCCTGAAAGGGAGGTGGTGGCTAGAGCTAAGGTCCTGGGGTTTTATTATTAGAGTGTTCCATAGGGTTTCTAAGAAGAGTTTGAATTTTTAATTGATTTTGAATTAGATGCTCACTAACCAATATAGTATTAAAGGAGACTATTTACGTGCGCCGTCGAGACTATCCAGCTCCACAATACAGAGGAGTAGGACGTGTGACAGTTTAGAGCAAGTTGAAGAATGAGCGCGTGGTTTTTTTTCCTTCATTTAACCTGTTACCCAAAACAGCTGGTTCCGATTGTTTTAAAAAAACATCACGTGCCTGTCATGTGGGTGGCTGTACCGGTACAGCTGATGCACCACGGAAGGACTCCGCCAAAGTTGACTACTTTATGTTGGGATGAGTTGATTAGTTGCTGGACTTCATAGATGCACAGAAAGAAATTGCTCTACTGCTAAGGAGATATTCTCATCAATCAATCTAAAAACTATATCTGGCGGATGACTTGTTTTTCTTTTGGTGAAGAGAGAGTAAGTTTTAGAGAATGGCTGAGGCAATTGTTTCCTTTGTGCTCCAAAGGGTCGGAGATTTCACCACTCAGGAAGCAAAGTTCTTGTCTGGAGTCAGCCATCAAGTTGAGGTTTCACAAACTGAGCTACAATTGATGCAGAGATTCTTGAAAGATGCAGATGCAAGACAAGGAGAAGATGCAAGAGTCCAGATTTGGGTTTCCAAGATTAGAGATGCTGCCTATGATTTGGAAGATGTTATTGAAACTTATGGCTTGAAAGTGGCTTCCAAGAAGAAAACAGGTATGAAGAATGTTCTTAAAAGATTTGCCTTTATCTTCAAGGAACGGGTTGATCTTCGCAAGATTGGGGCAGAAATTGAGAACATTACTGCCAAAATTTCTAATTTGAGGATGAGTTTGCAAAGCTATAACATTGTAAGGGAAACAAGAGAAATTGGAGGTGCATCTTCTTTGCAATCATTTGAGAGACAACAACAACTAAGGCGAACTTATTCTCATGTTATTGAACGTGATGTTGTTGGGATAGAAGACAATGTAAAGGAAATAGTCACACATTTGGTGAAGGAAGAAAGTTGCCTCCGAGTTGTTTCTATTTGGGGTATGGGTGGTGCAGGGAAAACCACACTTGCAAAACAGATTTATCATCACAAAGAAGTTAGGTGTCATTTCAATAGTTTTGCTTGGGTGTGTATATCTCAACAGTATCAAGTAAGAGATGTTTGGGAAGGCATTTTAATTAAACTCATTTCTGCCACCAAGGAACAAAGAGAAGAAATTGCAAAAATGAGGGACTATGAAATAGCCAAGAAGCTTTTTCGCGTCCAGCAAGGAAAGAGATGCTTGGTTGTACTTGATGACATTTGGAGCATTGAGACATTCAACTCTTTGAAAGCTGCATTTCCATTAACATGTGAGGAAACACAAAGCAGAATTTTACTTACAACACGCAATGAAGCAGTGGCTTTGTATGCTGATAGAAATGGTTTTCTCCACCAACCCCAGGCACTGGATGAAAACAAAAGTTGGGAACTATTTGAGAAGATAGCATTATTTGGAAGGGTTGATAAAGGTACTTTATCACTCTTTTATCTCAACTTTATTTATTTATATTAATCGAGCCTCATAGAAACTACCTTGTGGAATTCGCAGTACTGTCATTCCCGATGCATAGATATTCTTTTTTAACAAAATAATTTTTAGGAATATCGATATATTCTTATCTCTATGTGCATGTTCTTGAGTACAGAAATTCTTTCTTTTGGTTGAAAGGAATCAAGATTTCAGTGATTGAAATAGTCGATTTAATTGAACTTATATATTTTGGACCAATCGTGAATGAAAATTATTGAATACAAAACAAAAACACTGACCGCACAATAAAGAAGGGAGAAGAACTGCCCTGTTTAACATTTTGTTAGCTACCAAGATAGTGACTTATCATATGCAATACATATAATAGCTACAATACATAGGACATTGTGTCTTTCTTTTATACCACTAGGATGTATCCAGATCAAGTACCCACTGACAAAGAAAGGTATCAAAGGTTAGTTGGGCGACTGATCTATCTGTCACACACACGCCCGACATAGCTTATGCTGTAAGTATGGTGAGTCAGTTTATGCATCAACCGAGTGAGACACACATGAATGGAGTAACTCGGATTCTGAGGTACTTGAAGGCTGCCCCTGCAAAAGGATTAATGTTCTCCAAACATACACATATGTACCCGGAAGGATACACAGATGCTGATTGGGCAGGATCCATCACAGATAGACGGTCTACATCTGGATACTTTACATTTGTGGGTGGCAACTTAGTCACTTGGAGAAGTAAGAAACAAAAAGTTGTGGCTAGATCAAGTGCTGAAGCAGAATTCAGGGGAATGGCTCAAGGAGTGTGTGAATTGCTCTGGTTACGGAGATTACTGAAGGATCTTGGAGTTAAACCCTTAAAAGCTACAAACTTGTACTGTGACAATAAAGCTGCTATCGAGATAGCACATAACCCAGTACAACACGACCGTACCAAACATGTGGAAGTCGACCGACACTTCATCAAAGAAAAGCTTGAAAGTGGTATAATTAAGTTTCCGTTTGTAAACTCGGAAAACCAACTTGCCGACATTCTGACAAAGGCCGTATCAAGTAAAGTTTTCTATGCCTCACTTGACAAGTTGGGCATGCGTGATATCTTTGCACCAACTTGAGGGGGAGTGTTAGTCAAGTCATAAGAGTTAGGCAAGTAAGTTAGGCAAGTCATAATTAGGCAAGTCATAGTTAGGTATGTTTACATTTTCCATGTTTTAGGGAGACACAAATCCTGGAAATGCTCCATGGTTTTGTATACTTGTTTGTAACTAATAGTTACCCTTTCTACATTGTGTATAAATATCTCCATGATAGCAATACAAAGATATAAGGGAGAATTCTCTGCAAAACATCTCTTATTCCTCACTCTTTACTCTCTCAATTACACTATATTTGACACTACTGCTATTAGAAGTATTAATTTGGGTTTTCATTACCTTTTCAGATTCTGGAGTTTACATAAAGATGAAAGAACTCGGAATGGAGATGCTTCGACATTGTGCAGGTTTGCCATTAGCCATCACTGTTCTTGCCGGAGTTCTAGCAAGAAAAAACACTGTTAATGAGTGGATTACAGTGCATGCAAATGTTTATGTATACATAAGGAGAGGCATAGGTCCTGAAGAAGAATATGCAGGTGCTTCATGGGTATTGGCATTGAGTTATGATGACTTGCCTTATCACTTAAAACCATGCCTATTGTATTTAGGTCATTTTCCTGAAGATTTTGAGATTCCGGTGAAAAGATTGACCCAATTATGGATGGCAGAAGGTCTCGTCTCATTGACACAAGGACAAGGTTTAGGGGAAGCAATGGAGGATATAGCGTACCATTGCTTAAGTGAGTTGATGATAAGGTGTGTGGTTCAAGTTGGAGAAACGGGTTCAATTGGTACGATTAAAACTTGTCGAATCCATGATCTTGTAAGAGACTTGTGTTTGTCAAAGGCGGAAGAGGAGAACTTTCTCCAAGTTGTGAATTCTTCGCAGAGAAACGAGGCAATCAGTCCTTTTTCTTCTTCTATGGTAACCAAGGCAGCACCATTGGGGAAAGTTCGAAGACTTGCCATCTACTTGAATGAGAATGCTGGTAAGTTGGTTCCATCAAGATATGAGAAAGATGACCACCTTAGATCTCTCTTATACTTTGGCTTAAAAGAATGGAGGAGACAATGTAAAAGATTGATACTTACCATGTTCAAGGATTTCAAATTACTTAGAGTTTTGAAGGTTGAAGGTATGAACAGAGAAGCAGAGTTGCCAAGTGAAATTGGAAATATGGTCCACTTAAGGTTTTTAAGCCTAAGGGGAAGTAATATAAAACGGATTCCTGCATCTCTGGGTAACTTGATATGCTTGCAAACTCTAGATCTTCGAGTTGAAGATAGTTGGCTGTTCATCCCAAATGTCATATGGAAGATGAAACACATAAGACATTTATATTTGCCCTTTTTTCACCGGCTCCGAGTAAGCGGTAAACTGAAAATTTCTACGCTTCACAATTTACAGACTTTATATCCTGTTTCAAGCTCCAATTGTGATTTGAATGATCTTACTGGTCTAACAAATCTTAGAAAACTGAGTATAACGCTGTCAAGCCCCTTAGAAAATCTGGAGGAAATCTTGAAATCTACTGGCAGCACGCTTAACCATATACGGTCTCTATTTGTGTACACAGGTTTGGCAGTCACTGGTTCTACAGAGCAAGTTACGCAAATAGTATCAAGTTGTCGTCGTATATACAAACTGAAGCTGGAAGGGCCGACCGCAGAATTACCGAGAGAGCTCCATTGCTTTCCCAACCTCACCAAGTTAACACTGCGTCGCTTCTTTCTCGAGGATGACCAAATGGGAATTATAGAGAAGCTGCCAAACCTAACAACTCTGAGGCTTGAACAAAACACTTTCAACGAGGATGCAAAGATATTGGTTTTTTCCAGAGGCGGCTTTCCTCATCTTCAATTTCTTTCACTTTTTCACATGTTTGAAGTAAAAGAGTGGAGGGTAGTGGAAGGAGCCATGCCTAGTCTCCGCCGACTGAGCATTAAATATTGTAACGGATTGACGACAATTGTAGATGGGCTGCGATATCTTACTACCCTCAGGGAATTAAGCATTGAAGGGATGTCAAGTACATTCCAGAGTAAGCTTAAGGCAGGAGGAGAGGATTTCCATAAAATCCAACATGTAACTTCCCTTGTATTTGGGTAACCCTATGGCCCGGCCAGCGCATCTTCCATGGAAAGGTTAATTCTGGTGTTTTTTGTTTAGCATTTTGTCAATGTTACATATATGGTCTTTAATATGTTGAATGAAATGATCCAGGGCTGTAGATGCTCTGTGTGTTGGTGTTGACCTTCTAAATGGAAGGAGTACTGAGTTTGCATTATCCTACTGTACTAGCAGCTGGGACTTGCATGACATGGGGAAAATATATATTTGCAGATCAAGCTGATGATCAAGCAAATTGTTCAGGAGAAGAAACAAAAGGTTGACAGGTTGAATTGTGCAAGACATGTGATATGAAATGGAATCAGCTGAGTTTGTCTGATGATTACTTAGAGTTCAAATGGAAATCTACGTTTTATGGCGTATTTCAATATTAATGCTTGGCGAAAATCGAAATTTTTTGGGTCAATGTTTGCTGGGAATGATTCGATTGTTTGGTGTATATATAGCATTCTTTTTGTGGCAATTTAGAATTGTTTCTTTGAGTTAATGCAATTATAAATTTGAAAACAAGAAATATACTGCAGCAAAGAGTTTCCCTTGTGTTTTTTTTTTTGGGGGTCAGCGTGTTTCCCCTGTATTTTGGAGGGAATGTGTTGAGGCAAATTTGATTGTAATCATGAAGCAGCAAAAGCAGAGGCCTTCGGCTTTTTTTATTTAATTTTTTGCCCATTTTTTGTTTGTTTAATTGTATGGGATTTTTTACATAATGGTCTAGCAGGATATTCTTATATCTACTTCTGTGACAAATTAGTGGATACATCTTAAACCTTTTCAGTTCCATTGTTATTTATAGTAGCTAGGAATTAAAGGTACCAAAATTTTTAGCAAGAAATTATAATTAGACATATCATTCCCACAACTGAAAAGGCCAAGAGACCATTTGGGATTGGGGCGATGGAGACTGAAAATATTCATATATTCACCAAGAAAATTAGGAAAAATGATATAAATACAAGTTACTAAGAATGAAAAGAATGCTGAAAGTAGTGCATTCTGGGAATCAAGGGATGTTGGGATTTTCTTATTTGTAATCCACAATTCGTGTCTTTGGGAAGTTCGCCTATGAAATTGATTGAAATAATTTTTTATCAAAGAAGACTTCGTCCTTGCATTGGATGACAACTTGCACGGCAATTACTTACTGGACACGACTGACTTATATTGTTAACAGACAAATAGAAGTGGCTAAGAAACAAATAATAGAGGTGATCAGAAAACGAAAAGAAACTGACAAAGATGACTAGTTATTATTGGACTGACTTGAGATTGAATTGATTGGCTGGAATTCATACATAGAGTCGAAAGAGTGGAGATAATATTTCATCTTTCAAACTGAAAACCAAATCTGGAGGTTTTCTCTTATTATTCCTTTTGGCGAAGAGAGAGTTAGTAGTAAAAAGCATGGCTGAGGCAGTTGTTTCCTTTGTGCTCGAAAGTGTCAGAGATTTCACCATTCAGGAAGCCAAGTTCTTGTCTGGAGTCAGTCATCAAGTTGAGGTTGCACAAACTGAGCTACAACTGATGCAGGGCTTCCTGAAAGATGCAGATGCAAGACAAGGACAAGATGCAACAGTCCACATTTGGGTTGCCAAGATTAAAGATGCTGCTTATGATTTGGAAGATGTTATTCAAACTTATGGCTTCAAAGTGGCTTCCAAGCAGAAAAGCGGCGTGAAGAATGTTTTGAGAAGATTTGCCTGCATCTTCAAGGAAGGGGTTGAGCTTCACAAGATCGGAGCAAAAATTGAGAACATCACTTCTAAAATTTATAATTTGAGGTCGAGTTTGCAGAGTTATAACATAGAAGAAATAAAGGAGAGTGGTGGTGAATCTTCCCTTCAATTACATGAGAGGCAACGGTTGCTGAGGCGAAGTTATTCTCATGTTGTTGGGTTAGAGTCCAACATCGAAGAATTGGTTATGCATTTAGTGAAAGATGAAAATCATCATCAAGTTGTATCTATTTGGGGGATGGGCGGTTTAGGGAAGACCACTCTTGCAAAACAAGTTTATCATAACAAAAAAGCTAGGCACCATTTTGATAGTTTTGCTTGGGAGTGAGTATCTCAAAGGTGCCAAATAAGAAATGTTTTGGGAAGGAATTTTATTTAAACTCATTTCTGCTACCAAAGAACAAAAACAAGAAATTAAGGAGATGACATATGATGAAATTGCAAAGAAGCTTTTTCGTGTCATGGAAGAAACAAGATGTTTAGTGATTCTTGATGACATTTGGAGTCTAGAGACGTGGAATCTTTTGAAAGTTGCATTTCCGAATGAGAAAACCGAGAGCACAATATTACTTACAACACGTTATCAAGCAGTTGCTTTGCCCCCAAATAGAAATTGTTTTCTCTACAAACTCCAGCCACTAAATGAGAATGCGAGTTTGGAACTATTTGAGAAGATAGCAATATTTGGAAGGGCTGATATCGGTATTTTCTCACCCTTAATCTGTCCTTTTTCAAGTTCTTAGTTATATATCAAGCTGCATAGAAACAAACACATTGCAAATGATGACACTAGTTTTATAGCTTTTTTTCAGCCATTGTTGGGATTTTACAGTTTTCAAATATTGCCGAGCACGCAGCAATTTTATCAATTGCCATTCTTGGTAACAAATTTGTTAGGTAGCATGCTAGGAATTTATCATATATGCAATGCAAATAATAATCAGGACAATGCTAGACAATTCAAAATTTCCTCCCAACCTTTTTCCTCAATCTATTCTCACGTTAGAAATGGAGAAATAGAATTTTAAACTTTAAATCTAATGATATCCCATACACTTTTGGTGTTGGTCAAAATAATTTTTGTAAATTTCCCATTTGGGATGCATTATAAATCCAAACATATAATAAGATAAACTTTCTACACTTAGTAATTTCAGTTTCAAATATTAGAGCAAGGGATACAGAGCAAAGGATACATCGTGATAAATTGTCCTAGTACTCTACCTTTTCTACACACTGCGACTGCTCAAACTACAAGTACTTATTTAACGTTTTTTTCTTTCTTATTTTTCAGATTTGAGAATTTACACAAAGATGAGAGAATTAGGAATAAAGATGCTTCGACATTGTGTAGGTTTACCATTAGCCGTCATTGTGCTTGCCGGAGTATTATCTAGAAAAAACACCATTAAAGAGTGGGAGACAGTGCATGAGAATGTTCATGAATGCATTAGGAGGGGCATAGGTCATGAAGAATATGAAGGAGCATCATGGGTGTTGGCGCTCAGTTATGATCATCTACCATATCACTTAAAACCATGCCTTTTATATTTAGGTCATTATTCTGAAGACCTTGAGATTTCAGTGAGCACATTGACTAAGTTATGGGTGGCAGAAGGTCTTATCTCGTTAAGACAACCAAGACATGTTTCGGGGGAAACAACGGAGGAGATAGCGCGCAATTGCTTAAGTGAGTTGGTGGAAATGTGTGTGGTTCAAGTGGGAACAACTGGTTCAACTGGGACAATGAAAACTTGTCAGATCCATGACCTTATACGAAACTTGTGTTTGTTAAAGGCAAAAGAGGAAAGCTTTGTACATAATTGCTATTCTTTGCAAGAAAATGAAGCAACTAATCCTTTTACTTCTTCTATGGTAGCCAAGGCAGCACCATTAGGGAAAGTTCGAAGACTTTCAATTTACTTGGATGAGAACCCTGATATGTTGCTTTCATCAAGATATGAAACAAATGGCCACGTGAGGTCTCTATTATACTTTGGCCTAACAGAACGGAGGCAGAAAAGTGAAAAGTTGTTACTTTCTTTGCTAATGAATTTCAAAGTTCTTAGAGTCTTGAAGGTTGAAGATATGAAAGTAGAAGTAGAGTTGCCAAGTGAAATTGGAAATATCATCCACTTAAGGTTTCTAAGTGTGAGGGGTAGCAAAATGAAAAGGTTTCCATCATTCCTAGGTAATTTGATATGCTTGCAAACTCTTGATTTTCGTGTTCAAAAAAGCCACATGGTCATCCCAAATGTGATATGGAATATGAAACACTTAAGACATATATATTTACCTATCCATTACACAGCAAGAGGTAACCTGAAGCTGTCTACTCTTGGTCATTTACAGACCTTAGATGTGCTTTCAACTGAGTATTGTGATTTGAAAGATGTTGCTGGATTAACCAATCTTAGAAAACTGAACATAAAACTGGCAAGCTCCGTGGAAAATCTGGAGGAAATTTTGAAATCTGCAGGCAGCATGCTAAATCGTGTCCGGTCTCTATTTGTGTACATTGATTATAACTCTGCAAGGAAGAGTAGTTATGAGGAGCAGGTTAAGCAAATAGTATCAAGTTGTCAGCATATATACAAATTGAAGCTGTTTGGGCCAACCGCAGAATTACCGAAAGAGCTCCACAACTAACCAAACCTCGCCAAGTTACAATTGCGTAGGTATGGTCTCAAGGAGGACCAAATGGGAATACTAGAGAAGATACCAAACCTGACAACTCTGCGCCTCATAAATGAAGCTTTTGAGGAGAACACAAAGATACTGGTTTTCTCCAAAGGAGGCTTTCCTTCTCTTGAATTTCTTTTCGTTTATGGCATGCGAGAAATAACAGAGTGGAGTGTAGAGGAAGGAGCCATGCCTAGTCTCTGTTGATTGCACATTGAATATTGCAGGGGATTGACGACACTTCCAGATGGGCTAAGATATCTTACTAATCTCAAGGAATTAACTATTACAGGGATGCCTAAAGAACTCCACAGTAGGATTCAGGAAGATGGAGAGGATTTCTGTAAAATTCAACGTGTACCTTCCCTTGTAATTGGAGAAGCGTACTGATGCAACGAATAGGTAATTGCTTAATTTGAAACTGTAGATTAATTCTCGTTGTTCTTCATTTCACATCACTATATTACCTGTTCCTTTATTTGTTTATTTTTCTTTTCCCTTCTTGTTTAATATTTTTTTTCATGTTAACAACAATTTAGAAAGCTAGAGTCCATCAGCAATTGGATTTTCTTCATAGTTGGTCATGTTAACAAGTTATCTCTTGTTCTTATAGTAAAAATGCTAAGGTTCAATTATGGCAAAAGTGCTGAATTTGTGTTATGGTAGCTGCAGCTGGGACTTGACATTGATAAAGTATGCCGTGTTAACAGGAAGAAGAGAATGAGATTTAAGAGAGAGAAAGTAAGAACGAATATAGCTTTGTATTTCTGTATTTCATATTATATTGAATTGAATAGTAATACACAGCTTTAATACAAATGCTCATCTCCTAATATCACGCTAACAGACTTAACAACTACAGCTACTCTCACTAACAAACTTAATAGAGAGCACGTGAGCTGCACATGATGAACTAACAAACTCATAGCACGTGAGCTGCACATGATGAACTATCACACTCATGGTTAACATTTTCCCTACCCAGCTGAACTCCTCAGTCTAAGATGAAGACAGTGTTGTAAGAAAATGGGACTGTGTAACCCCTTTGTAAATACATCTGCTATCTGTTCCTCAGTAGGTATATACTGCACAATAAGATCCTTTCTTTGTACCTTCTCTCTTACAAAGTGAAAGTCAATATCCAAATGCTTAATACGAGATTGGTATACTGGGTTTGAACTTAAAGCCAGAGCTGATAAGTTGTCACAGTACATAATAGGAGCATCAGGCAGAAACATCTTCAAATCCAAGAGAACTTGTCGAATCCATGCCAAGTCAGCAGCTGTGTTTGCTAGGGCCCTGTATTCTGCCTCTGTTGAACTCCTAGATACAGAACCTTGCTTCTTGGACTGCCAGGAGATGGGATTACTACCCAAGAATACTACACATCCGGTTGTAGACCTTCTAGTGTTGATATCCCCTGCCCAGTCTGCATCACTGTATGCATTAAGCTGCCAAGGACCTTTTGTAAAGCTGATTCCATACTCCAAAGTACCTTGTACATATCTGAGAATACGCTTCACCAAAAAATAGTGAACCTCAGTAGGATTATTCATATATTGACACACATGATTCACAGCATAGGCTAGATCAGGTCTTGTAAATGTTAGATACTGTAGAGCACCTACTAAACTGCGAAACATAGTAGGATCTGCCAAGGGCTCACCATCAGTCTGTAACACTTGAGTGTGTGGCTTACAAGGTGTTGCACAGGCCCTACATGAACTCATGCCGGCTTTATGTAGTAGATCTTTGGCATACCTAGTTTGACTCACGAATATGTCACCAGAGGAACTATAGGAAATCTGCAGACCCAAGAAAAAGGTGAGTTGCCCCATATATTTCATTTCAAACACCTCACTTAAGTCTGTAACCACTTTTTGAATCAACTGATCACTAGAACATGTTATAATGATGTCATCAACATACAATAGTAAAATGATAATGTCATTCCCAGAATGCTGCACAAATAGACTTAGGTCAGAATGTGAAGATTTAAAACCAAGAGCAGGTAGGTAACCTGCGAATTTGGCATTCCAAGCCCTTGGAGCCTGTTTAAGACCGTACAGAGATTTTTTCAGTTTGCAAACAAACTTTGGATGAGAAACATCTTCAAATCTAGGAGGTTGTTTCATAAAAACCTCTTCTTCAAGATCGCCATGTAGAAAGGCGTTCTTGACATCAAGTTGTCGTAGTTTCCACTAGTTCATAGCAGCTATACTTAACACTAACCTCACAGTTGTATGTCTAACAACTGGACTAAAGGTTTCCCCAAAATCAAAACCAGGCTCTGATACCATGTTAACAGGAAGAAGAGAATGAGATTTAAGAGAGAGAATGTAAGAACGAATATAGCTTTGTATTTCTGTATTTCAGATTATATTGAATTGAATAGTAATACACAGCTTTAATACAAATGCTTATCTCCTAATATCACGCTAACAGACTTAACAACTACAGCTACTCTCACTAACAGACTTAACAGAGAGCACGTGAGCTGCACATGATGAACTATCACACTCATGGTTAACATGCCGAAGCTCTGCAGCAGAGTGAGCGCATGTGTGAAACTGAACTTACCAGGACAGGAAAGAAATGCCACAATTTGTGTGATTCTCTGTGAAAAGATGATCCAAGCACCTATCTGTAGTGTACACAGTTTTCTTGCCTCGGAGAAGGCTGACAGGGTGAAGCAGTCTTTTCCTCAGGTTTTATTGTACCTACTAGGATTTAGGAAGAAGGAATTTACTTTTTGTTGTGCTTTTCAGTGATTGAAATGTAATGGATTTTGCTTGGTTTTGCTGTGATTGTTTGGTTGATAGCAATATTTTTATTGTCATTTAGACTTCTGTCTTTGTGTTGGTACAACTATCAGTTTTGAAAGCAAAAAGTTCAACTGCATTCCAAATTATATTTTGGAGGGATTATTGCATAGTAAGAGTGTTGGAAGTTTGAAAGCAAATTATCCCACATCGGAGGAAACAATGGTTTACGTGCTTTATAAGCATGATACTTTGACACCAATTAAATTGGTGGGCTGATGGGCTTGGTAGTGAAGGCTATACACAGTTGGCTTGATTAAAAATATTCAATTAATCAACAACTGCTGTCTTCGGTTCATTGTGGCTGCAACATCTGCTCCCTTTTTTGGTCGAACTCTATTCTTTTTGGCTACCCTTTTTTAATTGAAGAAATAACTCTAGCCAATGGGCTAAAGTGGTATTTTAGCCATAAACCCTAAATTGATATGACAAAATTGTATATTTAAAGGTATAGCCGTCCGGCTATACTCGTTAAATATTAATATATTCGAATATTTTAGAAGTATAGCCGCGCGGCTATACTCTTCAAATATTTTCGAAACAAACACGAAGCTTGCACTCGCGGAGGGCGGAGCTTGCAAACGCAGTCGTAGCCATTTCACTTCTCCATCAACTCAAGCGGTTTCGGCTGCTTCGTCCTCCCTGTTCGGCACCGAAAAAAGACCCAACCCGCCTAGGAGGCCCGCCTAGCCACCTAGCGCCCACCTAGGCCGATTTTTCGAACACTGTGATTGACTGAAAGTCTGAAACCCGAAATTGAAAAAGTTAAGCAGCAAATTTGAGCTTGAGATTGAGATTGGGCAGCCATTTTGGTTCTCCATCAACTCAAGCGGTTTCGGCTGCTTCGTCCTCCTTCTGTCCTCCGAGTCCTAATGCCCACCTAGCGACCAGCTAGCTGCCTAGGCCGATTTTTCGAACACTGTGATTGACTGAAAGTCTGAAACCCGAAATTGAAAAAGTTTAGCTGCAAATTTGGGCTTGAGATTGAGACTGGGAAGCCGAAGCAAGCACAAGTCAGGTCCATAGAAGAAGAGATCATGAGACTCTTAATTCATCTAATTCCATTCTTCTCCCTATTTCCCGCCTTATTCTCTTCTCTCTAGGCTCTCTACCAACCAGGTTTTTGAGGTTGAGGCAATGACCCTTCAATTTTGAAGGGTAATAAAGATTATTTAGCAAAATCTCCAATTTTGAAGGATTCAAAAGGTGACAAATATTTTAATCTGATCTCTTAA